TTTTTTTTAATTTTTATTTTATTTTTCTTTTTTGTGGTACTGAAGACTGAACTCAGGAGCATTTGACCACTGAGCTAGATCTCCCAACCTTTTTAATTTTTTATTTTTGAGACAGGGCCTCACAAAGTTACTGAGGGTTTCACTAAGTTGCTGAGGCCGGCCTTTAACTTGAGATCCTCCCACCTCAACCTCCTGAGTCACTGGAATTACAGGTGCACACCACTGTTCCTGGTAGTAATGGTGATTTCTAAAGGGGCTGTTGGGAGGATTAATTACAGGTCACGATGCACATAAAGCATCAAGCACAGGGCTTGACATAGAGTGTCACTATCAAGAGTTCTTGGGGCCACACACAACAAATGCCAGGCATGCTCATGCCTGAGTGACACCTGTCAGGCTCCTGGCACACAGCAGGTACCTGTTCCCTGAAGGAACATGAGAGTCTGGAAACAGAGCCCAGCATGCCCAACCCACCCACGGCTCCTGTGTGAAATCATTCCAGGTGAAGTCAGTAGAATGCTCAACCCCAAGTTCTTCTCCTGAGAAGAAAATGGAAAATCTCTTCCCCAAAGAACTTTGGTCTTTGTATGGTACTTAATGTGGGCTGAAAAGCAAATGTCAAGACCTTCAAAGTATATATTTCACAGCAGGCAGAGAATAAATTGGGGGTCTTTTTTTTTTTTTTAAAGAGAGAGAGAGAGAATTTTTTAATATTTATTTTTTCAGTTCTTGGCTGACACAACATCTTTGTTTGTACGTGGTGCTGAGGATCGAACCCAGGCCGCACGCATGCCAGGCGAGCGCGCTACCGCTTGAGCCACATCCCCAGCCCAAAATTGGGGGTCTTATGAGGCCTTTTTAAGAAGCACATTGTCACATGCCTGTAATCCCAGCTCCTTCTGAGGCTGAGGTAGGAGGATCATATGAGCCCCAGACCAGCCTAGGGAACACAGGTAACTAGGTAACACTGTCTCAAAAAAAAAAAAAGTTTGAACACTTGCATTAAAGTTCAAAGACAGACTTAAATCATTGTCAGATGATGAGGCCCAGGGAGTGCCCCAAACTTCACAGTCTGACCCCAGCTGGGCCATGCTGACTCCAGTGTGGCTCTCTGCTTTGGGAGCCTTTCTTTGTCCTCATTCCCCTTCTTTGCTACTAGGTGCCATGTTGTTTTCTGTTGGGTGCACCTCCCCTCCTCCCTCAAAAAGATAAAGTACCTGGGAGGATCTGGTCAGGACATAGGAAACCAAAATCAGGTTTCCAGCCTCTGGCCACCTACAGGGCAGTTATCTGGGGTCACCTGCTGGGCACAGTCAGGGTGCAGGTGGGAATCAGAAGTCCCATCCAGCTTGGAGGGGACCAAGGAGGAGGCAGGTACATGGGGATCTGCAAAGGTGTGAACACTCAGCCTGTAGAGTGGGTTAGGGCCACAGTGGGAGGACCTAGAGTGCCCCCAGGCCCCCCACACTGGAAAATGCTGGGCATGCTATCTTTCATTTTTCCCCCTTTTTCTGGTACCAGGGATTGAACCCAGGGGCGCTTAGCCACTGAGCCATACACCCAGTCCTTCTTGAATATTTTATTTAGAGACTGGGTCTCAGTGAGTTGCTTAAGGCCTTGCTAAATTGCTGAGGCTAGCTTTGGTCTAATTTCAGAGATCACCATGCAATTAGACCAGGGCAACCCAGCCATCGGGTTCCAGTGTATAGCCTGGGCTGAGACACGCTGGTTAGATCTTGGCGTGGTGGATAGAAATTAACCAGTATGCCTTGCACACTGAATTTGAGAGGCAGTGCATTACTTCCCACTTGGACTTGGGCAATCTGTGCATTCATTCACCCCGTCCACATACTCCACTTTCATTTTTGCAGCCCCATCCTATGCTCCCAGACTTTGAGTGCCCTCAAGAGTTGGCACATGGAACCATAGGGTATAATCACACCAAACCATTGATTTTCTGACTTATTTTTTTAACTGACCCGTTGGCCCTGCAACACTTCCCATGCCAGAAAAGTATTTAACCAGCTCCCCAGTTGCTGGGTCTTCTGCTTGCTTCCAGTTATTCCCAATTAATCCACTCAGAGAGGTGGGCATCCTGGAAAACCTCCCAGGGCCTGTAGGCAAGCTTCCTTAGTAGCTCCGGGCTGGAAAGGGGACTGCAGGCTAGGCCATGGGGTAGTTGCACATTAGTTGCCCACCTGCAGCCCAGTCAGAAGGCGGGAGGAGTCCAGTGTGCAGCAGGCAGGCCCACTGCCTTGAGCATGTGGGGTAGGTCACAGTAGGTACTATTTCCTAAGCACCTACTGTGTGCTCAGCTCATGCCATGAACTTGTGAATATCACGGTCGTCATCATTGTCTACAAGGCATCATGCTCATGCCCATTGCACAGTAGAGGAAATTAGGGCTCTGGGAGGTTGTCACTCACCAAGGTCAATAGGAACATACAGGATTTGAACCCCAGGCAATCAGCAAAGCTATGTTCCTGCCACTAGGTCCCGCTGTACCATGTTTCCCAGCCCAGTACAGGACGGGTGCTTTGGTTTGCTCTTGGCAGTGGAGGCTGAAGCTGATGCTACTCACATCTTCACTTGGTAGGTGTGGGGAGGGGGGAAGTGCCTGTTTCCAGGCCCCCAGATCCCAGTGAAAGTGTGGCTCAGGGCCCAGCCACGAGAGGCATTTCCTGAGGCCTCTGGGTCAGGTCTGGCACCCACCCAATGGCTGGAAACAGGTCTAGAGCTGTGCAGTCTTCCAGGCAACTTGGCAGAGTCCCCAACAGCTGCTTCCCCATCCCAGGTCTCTTGAGGTGGACCCCACAGGCCTTGTCCTATCCTTTTTGCCTAGCACTACTGGACATCAGCATTGGCACTGTATGGAGGCCCCCAGAACCAGGAGCTCCATAAGGCAGCAGGAATTGATGGTTCCATTTTAAAGATGAGGCCAGATGAAAGAACTGATCCAGATGACACTGTGGGTAGCAAAGTGGAACTCAAACTTTTTCACATTCAATTCCAGGTCCCATGCTCTTCCCACCACCACCCAGTGCCTCAGACTGAGAGCACTTAATTCCCTGAGGGGCATTCCTGTTCAAAGTCCACTACAGATGGCCTCATGAGGGATCTTGGGGCCTGTGTGTGTTGTGGGGACGGGGACCCCAGGCAGCATCTCTGGATTCTCACAATCCGTGTTCCCTAGCCCAGCCCCCATCTCCCCCACCTGAAGGTCCCTCCCAAGGGGCTAAAGGTCTCTCCCAAGGGGCTGAACGTCATTTGTGGGGTTTTCATTGCTATTCTGGGTGCCCAGGTGGCCCAACACAGGCATAGCAGGGGGGTAGGGAAGGGAAGTTCAGCTTCTATCCCTGCAGCCCCCTCCCCTTACCAGCCCTGGCCCAGACCCAGTCCTCTCCAGCTGTGGAAACTTGTACCTCATCCCAGAAGAATGAACTTGCTGGCAGTCAACTGCTTGGCTGCTAGGATCAGCCAATCAGGCACTGAGCAAGCCTCGCCTACCTCCAGGGACAAAGGGCCCTGCCAAAGACCTGTGCCCCAGAGAGCAGGGTGGGAGCAGTCGCAAGAAGGGAGAGGCAGAGGGGAAGGCCCTGGAGAGCCAGGACAAAAATGGCTGCAGTCCATTTTGTCTCTTGGAGCCAGGTTCATTCACCTGAGCAACCAGCACACTGGGTACACCTCTTGGCCTGGCCTAGGTACTCTGCATTTTCTTTCTTCCTTTTTTTTTCTTTTGTACCAGGGATTGAACTCAGGACACTTGGCCACTGAGCCACATTCCCCAGCCCTATTTTGTATTTTATTTAGAGATAGGGTCTCATTGAGTTGCTGTGGGCTTTGCTCAATTGCTGAGGCTGGCTTTGAACTTGCGATCCTCCTGCCTCAGCCTCCTAAGCTGCTGGGATTGTAGGCATGCAACACCACACCCAGCCTCTGCATTTTCTTACCTTCCTCTCCCACCCTGCCTTCCCCTTCCCCAGGTAGGCAAGGGCTTCTGAGAAATAGATTAACATTCTCCTGTCTTTTGGCTACTCTGGGGTTTAAATCCAGGTGTACCTGAAAGCTGAGCCGTTTCCTTCCTCTTCCTGGTTCTCTTGCCTAGTCTAGGGCCAACCTCCAAGCCTTTCTTTTCTTCCTCCTATATTGGAGATTGAATTCAGGGGTTCTTTATCCCCTCACACACACTGCCTATTCCTTTTTGAACCACTGAGCCACATCTCCAGCCCTTTATTTATTTATTTTGTGTGTGTGTGTGTGGGGGGGGCGGGTTTCTGGGGATTGAACTCAGGGCCTTATGCATGAGAGGCAAAGCACTCTACAGAAACAGGTTTTCGCTAAATTGCTCAGGGCCTTGCCAAGTTGCTGAGGCTGGCTTTGAACCTGCAATCCTCCTGCCTCAGCCTCCCTGGTCACTGGGATTATATATAGGCATGTACCACTATGTCTGGTTCCACCAACCCCTTTTGAAACAGGGTCTTAGTTAAGTTATCCAGGTTGGCCTCAAACTTTGATCCTCCTGCCTCAGTCTCCTGAGTCAGTGGGATTACAGGCATGTGCCACTATACCTGGTTAAGCCTTTTTTTTTTTTTTAATTTTTAAAAATCATTTTCTATGCTGGGGATCAGATCCAAGGCCTTGAGCATATTAGGCAAGTGCTGTACCACAGAGCTACACCCTGAGGTCTAAGCTTTTGTTCACGTTCTGGGCCTGGCCTCCATTTCTCTTCATTTCCAGACTGGCCCTCACTCTCCAGCTGGACCCACCTCCTCCCATCACCCCACAGACATCCGGGGCTCCTGCAGCCACCCAGAAAAGCCTCTGCTTTAGGCCCAAGGCTGCAGGGTCAGAGGAAATGCATAAATAAAAACACATTTGCATGAAGGCCCAGGGCTCTGCATCTGAAGCTAACAGTTCAGTTAACTTCTAGGATAAGGCTGCCAGAAGTGAAAGCAGCCTACTAGCCTTCTGGGACAAACATGTCCCCGTAGCCAGGTGGGTACCATTCAGTGTTTATTTAGACACACAAATAAAAGAACCTGGTGGTTCAAACAGCTTGTGTTTTGTTTTTGTTTTTTTTCCTTTTGGTCATACATATATATATATATATATATATATTAAAAAGATCAATACATTGCCAGTCCCACATGCTTTCTCTCTACTGAGCAATATATACAGCCTATTATATATATGCATATATATATATAATATATATTTTTTCAATAGATAACTACATTCAAGTAATGAAACACAGGATTTACAATTTCCCTCTGAGGACAGAGGAAAAGCAAATTCACACACAGTTCACAGAGGAAGTACCATAAGAGCCCAGCCAGCAGGAGCCGAGCCCCTCTGGGGAAAAGAGGGCAGCAGCAGAAGTCACGACAATCACACTGCTGCTTACCAGGGGCAGCGGCAGGTGCAGATGAGGGTGGGCTAGCCTGCTCTGCCCAGGGGGGTGGAGGGCCTGTCTGGGAGCCTCAGTTTTCCAAGAGGTGCTCAAATCTGGGGTTTACAAAGGAGAAGCCGGCGAATGCTGTCTGGTCCATGGAGTCGATGAGGTTCTTGTCACTAAAGGAGAGGCGTGGCTTCTCCTTCAGGAACTCCAAGTCGAAGTTGCTGTAGTCTCCTGGGTGCTTCTGTGAGCAGAGGGCAAGAGATGGGTGAGTGGGACCTAAAGGGTTAAGGGCTCCCGAATTCCCCCAAGGGTTTCAGCAGGTATCCAGGCCTGGCATCCCTGTTGGGCTGGGACAGGCCAGACCAGGGCAGTCCTTATGCAGAACAGGAAAGGGGGCCTCTCCCAGCAGCCTGAGTGCAACCCCCACCACAGATGCATGCTGTTTCCCTAAGGGGATGAGGAAAGCAAGCAGGTAGGTCTGGGCCAGGGTAAGGACAGGTGGACATCCTCCTGAGTAGGGGCCCACAAGCTATGTGTGGCCTATGGGTCAGATCTCATTGGTTGCTACTTGTTTTTGTAGAGCCCAAAAGCTAAAAACAGCTTTTACATTTAAAATTTTTTTAAGTTGTCAATGGACTTTTATTTTATTTATTTATTTAGATACAGTGCTGAGAATCATCCACAGTGCCTCACACATGCTAGGTAAGTACTCTACCACCAAGCTATGATCCCAGCCTGGCTCTTTATTTGTTTTTTTTTAATATTTATTTATTTTTTAGTTGTAGTTGCACACGATACCTTTATTTATATGTGGTGCTGAAGATCAAACCCAGGGCCTCGCACATGCCAGGCGAGTACTCTACCACTGGGCCACAACCCTAGCCCTCTTATATTTTTAAATGGTTGGGAAAAAAAATAATAGTTCATGATGTGAAAATAAAATTCAAATTTCAGTGCCCATAAAGCTAAGTTTTATGTGTATGCAACTATGGCCATTTGTTGACGTACAAATGTCTATGGCTACTTTGAGTCTGCAAAACTCAACATGTTTACTATCAAGCTTTTTATAGGAAAATTTGGCAGATTTCCCACCCCTAAGAATATGAGATGATTAAAATAAAGAGGTCTCAGCTGGGGGCCCTCAGGCCAAACTGAAGTGGAAGGTACATTCATTTGGGGTTTTTTGTTGTTGTTGTTTTCATTGGGTTTTGTTTTTCTTCTTTTTTTAATGGTGCTGGGGATGGAACATAGAATCTCATATAAGAAAGGACTCTACAACTAAGCTACATCTCCAGCCCCTAGCACTAGCTTTTTGATAGAATTTGAGCTAATATTTTCAAAGTGGACAATGCAACATAAAAATCCAGATTTTGGCCGGACAGGGTGGTGTGCGTCTGTAATCCCAGCAGCTTTGGAGGCTGAGGCAGGAGGATCTCAAGTTCAAAGCTAGCCTCAGCAACCTGGCGAGGCTCTAAGCAATTCAACAAGACCTTGTCTCTAAATATTTTAAAAAGGATGTGGCTCAGTGGTAAAGTGCCCCTGGGTTCAATCCCTGGTGCAAAAATGAATGAATAAGTAAATAATCCAGATTTCTGGCTTCTTTTGAAAACTGGCAGAATAGTGTAGCCCTGGGCCCACTTCCTATGTTGTCATTTTTTGTGGGAGGGTGGGCAGGGCTTATTGAGGATTGAACCTAGGAGCTTTCTACCACTGAGCTATATCCTTAGCCATTTTTATTTTTTTATTTTTGAGACAGGGTCTCACTAACTTGCTTAGGGCCTCCCTAAATTCCTGAGGTTGGCCTCTAACTTGAGATCCTTCTACTTCAGCCTTTCGAGTTGCTGGGATCACAGGTGTACACCACTGAGCCCAGCTCTTTATGCTATCTTATTTATTTTGCACCACAGTCCTGAGAGATGCTACCATTTTGCTTGCTGATAAGGAAATAGGCTCAGAAAAACTAGAGCTTTGCCAATGTGGCCAGAGAGTAGTAGGACAAGAATTGGAACCAGATCTTTATTTTTACTTGTCTAGCATGCAAGAGTGCTTTACCACTGAGCTACACTCCCAGCCTCGCAGGGCCACTCTTGGATAGCAAGCTCGCCATCTCCCACGGGCAGGTGCTGCTTATCATCACACCTCCTGTGTGTGTTTCTCAGTGTAGAGGAAGAAATCAACCTCTATCAGCAGTGAGAGCCTGAGAGTGCTTTCCTCAGAGCTGGGTCAGCCTGTTAGCTCTCTGCCCAGCTCAGGAGGCCTCTGAGTTTGAGATCCCTGCTACAGGAAGTGTTCTGCAGTCTCAAAGTGCAGATGTAGGCCATGTTTTTGAGGATGCCCAGTGGGAACAGTAGGTCCTAGCGGAAAGGGAAAGCAAGGGAGAAAAAGAGTGGGATCTGTGATCATAGAAGGGCCACAGAGTCCCAACTTCTAAGGGGCCCCAACCTGCCTCTGCTGACAATGCTGGTCCCTAGAAGCTTCTGTAGATTGTGAGCCTGGTTCAAACCATCCTCCACTCCACTTTGAAGGCCTCCCAGCTACCTTCTGCCAGGGCCTTCTCTCCCTAGACCACTCACATACCACTTCTTTCAAGGGGACCTTTCAGACCACCTCATTTCCTGTACTCAGAGCTCCTTCAACAGATCCTCCCAATAACAACTGATCATAATGGTCAGTGATATCTATCATTCACTTTTTTTTTTTTGGTACCAGGGATTGAATCCAGGGGGCATTTAACCACTGAGCCACATCCCCAGCTGTTTTTTTTTTTTTTTGGTATTTTATTTAGAAACAGGGTCTCACTGAGTTGCTTAGGGCCTAAGTTGCTGAGGCTGGCTTTGAACTTGTGATCTTCCTGCTTCAGCCTCCCTAAGTCACTGGGATTACAGGCCTGCGCCAATGCTCCCAGCAAGTAATTATCAGACTCTTATGTCACAGATTATCATCAGTGTGCAAGTCTTATTTGCCTCATATGGGCTCCTCCAGCTCTGAGACTGTCTCCATGGTGGTACAACCCAACTCTGTGCTCTGTACCCAGCAGGACTTAGCATTTCCAAAATTTACTGGAAAATGGGTTGGATGGATGGATAAAGAGAGGGAATAAGGCCTTAACTCTGATACTCAAAGTATAGTCCCCTGCTCACAGCAAGTGCTAAAAAATATGTTAAAAGGCAGTGGGATCCACAGTCCCCAGTGTTTGTTGAATGACTGGGCAAGGAGAGGGGATGAGAACAGAAGTGCAGAGGCTGTGGCTAAGTGTCCCAGGGGAGAACAGGGAAGAAGGTTTGCTGGAAAAATGGACAAGAGGAGAGTGTGTTGAATGATGCAGGAGGGAGGCATGCAAAGGAGAAGGAGCCCACCCGGATGGCAGGCAGCGTAGGGATGGAATCACATACCACTTTGGGCCTGAAGGGCGGCTCCACCTTCCTCTTCTCCAGCAGAGTCCAGTTGATGGTCTTGAAGAAGGGGTGGAGTCTGATGTTTCCTGTCATTCCCAGCCTCTTGGGTGGGTCCCTTTCAAATAACTGCAACCCAGCAGGGGCCCTGGTTAGTATTCTCGGGGAAAATGGAGCTTTAGCAAATTGCCAGCAGGCCCTGGGGATGCCAAGGCGGGCCTGGCTCAGCATAGTGATGTAACCCAGGGAACTCTGGGGTGGAGGGAGGCTACTTCTGGGTGCCTGAGACAACAGGTCCTGGTCTGGAGCATCTAGGACTCTGAAGGTGGACCTTATGAGTAAAAGCAGTGCCATTTATTGACTGTTAGTATCCTAGGTTTCTATTTACTTCCCAATAACTCTGTGAGGTAGGTTCTCTCAACCCCTTTTGCAGATAAGGAGACAGAATCATAGAGGAGGGTTAAGTGACCTGCCCATGGTCACCAGCTAGTCACAGGCAGAGCGAGGGTTTGGTTCAGGTCTGTCTATATCCTGACCCTGAGCCCATAGTCACCATGCCAGGCTGATTCCACGCATGGGACTCAGACAGGAGCTGCTAGGAACCTGGTGAGAGAGCAAGACCCCCAAATGGAATAGCAAGGCTGCTGTTCCAGAGCCAGGAAGGTGCTGCCTTCCTACAGCCAATGTCTGCCAGGCCCGGCTCAGCCCCCACCTTCTCCAGGATGTCCTTGGACTCTTTGGTGATCCAACGGGGATAATGCGGTGTGTCCAAACGTATGGACTCGAAGAGTTCGTCCTCATCATCACCATGGAAGGGGGACTGACCAATCAGCATTTCGTAGAGGAGGACCCCAAAGGACCACCAGTCCACAGAGAATGTGTACTTCAGGCCCTGCAGGATCTGGGGGGAAGTAGTGGTCAAGGACAAGGTACCAATGCAGACAGGACCCTGAGCATGTTCCCTGGCTAGGCCCCTTCACCCTCAGGGAGCCTTCCCGGGCCTCACCACTTACCTCAGGGGCGATGTAGTCTGGGGTGCCACAGAAGGTGCTGGCTAGGTTCTCCCCAAATATGTTCTCTTTGCACATCCCAAAGTCGGCAATCTTGATATGGCCATGCCGGTCTAGCATCACATTGTCCAACTTGAGGTCCCTGAAGAGGAAGGGCAGGACAGTGTGTCATCAGGGGCCAATTCCTCTCTCCCTAAGGCTTCCCACAATGGGCCCATTTGGGGCCCAATAATAATAAGTCCAGGACTTTCCCAAAGAGTATAAAAGAATGAGGAAGCAAATGGGAAGCAGAAAAGGAAAGAGATGCTACACCCCTGTGCTCCTGATAAGGCACCTACTGTGCACTAAATGCTGGACACAAGAGATCCTACTCCCTGGAGCCCAAAATGAGGCTCGAAAGAGGTGGTTATCACATGCGCTGGGTCATCTAGCTGGTAACAAATGTGAACCCCAGCTCAGGAACCACATCCATTTTTATGTCTTTAGTTATTTGAGTAGATAATTGGTGCACAAAGAAATAAACACTAAACATTTCAAAGTTTATCTTCCACTAAGCTCCACCTTTCTCCCTGGAGCAATTCTGGGCATGGACAAGAGCACTGTGCGTCTAACCCCCACCTTTGAAAAACTGAATGCTGGGCTGGGGTTATAGCTCAGTGGTGGAGTACTTGCTTAGCATGAGTGAGGCACTGGGTTCGATCCTCAGCACCACATAAAAATAAATAAATAAATGGTATCATGTCCATCTACAACTAAAAATAAAATAAATAAAATGAAACCAAATACTACTATTTGAAACACACAGTCCCATGGGTTGGTTTTCTATTTGACAACATAGCTGGGTGTTACCCCACATCAGTGTATAGAGCAAGGCCTCTGTTTTTGCTTTTTCTTTTGTACTGGGGATTGAACACAGGGGAGCTGAACTACTGAGCCCCATACCCAGCACTTTTTTATATTTTATTTAGAGACAGGGTCTCACTGAGTTGCTAGGGCCTTGCTAAGTTGCTGAGGCTGTCTTTGAACTCATGATCCTTCTGATCTCTGCTTTTTTGATGGGCATAGAACATTCCATCATAGGATGTGACTATAATTGATTGCACAAGAATTTATGGAACCAGTCCCTGTGGAACCAGTTCCAATGGGTGGAAGCTTAGATTGCCCAGATGGGGCTTCAGCAAGAGACTAATGGGTCCAAGAAAAAAAGACACTGTGCCTATTAATGGCACCAAGGATAGGCAGAGAGTTCCCAGGTCCTGGAGCTGTGCCAGCTTCAGCTGAGGGGCCATAAGAATTCTAGCACTGGAATGGGGGTTTAGGCAAATACCCAGCTAAAGGCTCACTCCACGTAGCAATGAAACTGTGACTGGGCCAGGCCTTTTTGAAGCAAGGATATGCCACCCCTCCCAAGAGCCCCCCCACGGCCCCACCTCTGCACCTGTAAATGATCCCTTTGTGGTGTAGAAACTGCAGTCCACAGATTATCTCAGCTGCATAAAACCTGGGCAAGAGAGACAGTGTTCCAGAATTCTTACCCACCAGTCCGCTTCTCCTTGGGCCCTCCCTCCCACCCTCAGGGGCAGGAAATGCTGCAAATAACTCATAGACAACCTGGACCTGATCAAGCACATCTTGTATCAGATCAGGCAAGCGAGGGCTGGCAGCCCAAGCACAAAATTTTGAAGGGAAAGCTCCAAATAAGCCAATTCTGTCACAGAGTACGATGTTCACGGATATACAGACATGCGCACACATGCATACGGTTAGTGGGGTGGGGGGCATGCAAATGGGGAAAGGGTCACCATGCTAGTCTAGGGACCACACTCCAGGATCTGGAGTTGGGCAGGACCACTATCTATGAGGCTGCTCTGGCTGAAACCCAAGAAGGGGACAGGACCTGGCATGTTTGTGCTGTTCCCTCAGCCAGAATGCACTCCACACCAGTGCTTCCCACATGTGGACAGCCCAGGGCTCCCCAGCTCCAGCTCTTGTCTGGTTGGCTTCTCCAGGGAAAGGAAAGCCGGAAAGCAGGGCAAACTGGCAATGCCCTCTAAGCCAACATCCCTACCCCACCACAGGACTGTCTACGTACGTGGCCCGGTAGAGTTCAAAGCGACCTTTATCCTGGATGTGATACATCAGATCTCCCCCGCTGAGGAACTCCATCACAAAGAACAGGTGGTCCTGGGGTGGGGCAGAGGGTGGGAACTTTAAAGGGGGGATTGGGCTCAGTTTCACCCGGGGCATCGTCCCCAGAGACTCCTGGCTTCTTCTCGAAACCCTGGTATGTCCCAACAGGCTCCGGAGATTCCGAGTACAGCTTCTTGGAGGATCTCTGGGGAGGGGGCAGAAGCAGAGGCAGGACAGCAAGAAAGGTCCCTTGATGAAGACCACAGGGCTGAGCCTCAACAGAAAGTAGAGGGAACAGGTTCTGGACTGAGGGGGGCAACTCAGCCCTGGGAGGTATGAGCAGGGAAGACATGGCCCTGCCTTAAGCGATCTAGAAGGAAGATGAGGCCCGGCTGTCGGGGAGTCTAAGGGGGCTGTGGCACTTGGGCAATGATGGGTGGAAGGCCAGGCACCTTGGTCTGAAAGGTGCAAAAGAGGTGGGTAAGGAAAGGATTCTCCCCGGCGAGCGCCAGCACTCGCTTCTCCACCATGGTGCACTCCACGTCATCATCGATCAGAACCACGTCCTTCTTGAGGGCCTTGATGGCAAAGAACTGTCCTTTGCCCTTCAGCTCTGCGAGTAGCACCTGCGGGGTGAGGGGGAGGGATAATGAGCAAGATGGGACTGGGCACAGGCCACCCATAGATACCCAGCCAGAAAGTAGCCAGGGTAGTTTGGGAGGCAGGTGGCCCTGGACTCCTGAGCCCATATGTCTTGGGCTGCCCAGGGACTTACCTTCCCAAAGCTGCCTTTGCCCAGGATCTTGTGGAAAGTGAAGTTCTCGATGCGGCACCTGGAGCTTCCCTCCCAGATTTTGCCATACGTCTCACTGTTGTCTGCTTGAGAGATGGTGCCTGTAAGATCTTGGTCTGGAATAGTCCCCTTCCCTGGGATCCAGGATGGGTTAAATAAGGAATACTGGAAGGGAAGAGGCCTGGCTCCCCAATAGGCTACACCTTTTTCTAGAACTCACTCGGTAATGGGAGGGAGGGTACACCCGTTTCTTTTCCCTGTTGGAAGGTGGGAACTTTAAGTGGGGGATTGGGCTCAGTTTCACCTGGGGCATCGTCCCCAGAGACTCCTGGCTTCTTCTCAAAACCCTGGTATATCCCAACAGGCTCCGGAGATTCAGAATCCAGCTTCTTGGAGGATCTCTGAGGAGCGGGCAGAAGCAGAGGGCCAAGCAGTCAGAACACTGTCAGAACTCCCAGACCAGAGAGAGGACTCAACCATACCTCTCCCTCAACACCAAGGAAGACAGAAGAAGCAGGGTCCAGAACACCCCAGTGGTGTGTGCATGCACAAGTATGTCTCCCCATCCCTTTCTTACTCTCCCAGCAGCACGGGGAAGCCTCAGAGGTCAGGAAGGCACTGATCACAAAGAGAAGCTTTGTAAATTAAACTCCACCTTCCTAACCGTTACTCGATACATTTTACAACTTTTTTTTTTTTAACTAATTCTAGAATTTTCCTTTAAGGTTTTGTGGCATCCTTGAGCCATACACACATAATCTTAATTCACAGTGTTCTAACCCTGCAGTTTCCCAGATTCACCCTCAGGTTAAAAAAAAAAAAAACTGTCTTAATAATTGATTCATTCATTCATTTTCTCTCCCTTCCTTCCTAGAGATTGAACCCAAGGGTGCTTTACCACTGAGCCACATCCCCAGCCCTTAAGTTGCTTAGGGCCACACCAAGTTGCTGAGGCTGGCCCCGAATTTGCAATCCTCTTCCCTCAGGCTCCCAAGCAACTGGGATTACAGGAGTACATCACTGTGCCCAGCTCTGCTGCCTAAATTCTTGAATCAGATCTTCCAGAAGTGATTCACTGACCACTGGGGTTCCCCAAAACTGCTGCCAATTCTGACTACCCTCTGTGTCCAGGGTCCCAGAGTCCCACTGCACTTGCCCACCTGGCTGACTTGGTTCAAGGCTTCAGCTAAGAGCTTCTGGTTGATACCACAGAGGTTGGCTACCTTCTCCCGGCATTTATGGTGCACGTTCATGCCACAGTCTGGGGTGAAGAAGAAGCAGAGCCATAAGTCTTGGGGGTTCAACCAAGGGTAGGAAGGGGTAGAGGAGGAAACAGGAGAAAGGGCTTTGGTGGGGTCTGCTAGGCTTCCTGTCTTTAGGAGGAAAAATATCTGTATATTTCAAATATTTCATGATTTAAAAAAAAAAAATACAGAAAAAGGAGAAGATAGACAAGTACTCTACACCTGAGCTACATCCCCAGGAAGGGACCTAAATGCTTTAAAGATTGTCTGGGACAACTGAGATGAGCTGTTTTACTCCTTCTAGTTTTTACTCTGGGGATGAGGGGAGGTCTGGGGGGCACCTTTGGTCACCGAGTACCTGCTAGTGCACAGCAGATCTTGGCTAAATGCCTTTCAGACACCTGACCTTCTCAGAGAGTCTCTGGGTCCTATTCCTCCTGCCTGCGCCCCACTCCCCATTTTACACTTGAGGATCCAGCTCAGAGAGACAGAGCAATCTGTCTGGTGGTCACAAACAGGTAAATAGCAGTGCCAGTCAGGCCAGTGGGGAGAGGCCCATGTGAAATTCCCAAATGAGGTGTACACAGATGGGATTCCTTTGACCTTAAGGCCCCATCTCAGGGTAAGGGGGTGAAGGCTGCACAAGATAGCTGGGATTCTCAGGGTTCACGTGGGCAGCACGGGGAGCTGAGTGGTACGCACCTTCACATTTCAATCCCTGCTTCACCAGCCCCCACAGCAGGCTGCCACAGTGGTCACAGAAGGTGGGGCTCATATAGTTGTTGACCTTGAACCGGTGAGGCATGTCAATGTTGAAGCGTTCTTTCTGGAACTGGAGGGAAGAGGGCATCACCGCTGAGCTGCCAGCTCCAGCCCCTTCCTCAATGTTTCCCTCTCCCCCAGCCCAGTGCATTCCAAGATGCCCACGAGGGCTCCACTGGGAGGCTGGGAAATCAGAGGCCCAAGGAGCCAAGGCGGAGTACAAAGAAAGATTAAGAAAAATGGAGAGGCAGGGTAAATCCCACAGGGAAGGGTGCGGAGGGCCCAGATCCCTCCCACCCACCCAAGTCCCCCAAGCCTCCAACCCCCCATTCCCTGCCCCAACTCACTATAGTGTCCCGGCTGTTGGCGGCAGTGCCGGTGCACCGGCCAATGATCTTGTCAATACATTTCTTGTGGATGGCAGCATTGCATTCTTGAAGAGGCACAGGCCCAGGAGGAGGAGGGGAAGGAACCAGGCCGGACAGTCGTAAGCCAGCGTCTGCCAGACTGGTCCAACCCTCTACACAAAGCCAGCCTTCTCCCTGACCTCCCACACCCTCACCCCACAGAAGCCTAGGGCCCAAGGCTCCATTTTTCCCTCCTCCCACCAGCCTACGCAGGAAGGGCCAGGAGAGGGTGGAACAGGGGAGATAGGCCCATCTATAGAAATTAGGGAAGGCTCATGGACCTGGTAGGCAGGGGGGTGGGAAGAAGTGAGGGGGGAATGCAAATAGGGAGACGAGAGGGGTAAGAGAGCCCTCTTTCCCTCTTCTATGTCACAGGACAGCATACTGTTCCTAAGCATGCACTCTCATGTGCACTGAGATGGGCCCCAACATAAACACACCTGTATATACATCCAAAGCATGAGCAACCATGACAATGGACTTAGACTGAATGCTTACCCCGAGCCAGGGACTTAGAATACAGCTTTACATATTTTACCCACTGGATCTTCACACTATTAGCTCTAATTTGTGGATAAGGAAGCTAAAGCACAGAGAGGTCAAGTAACTTGCCTGAGGCCCTACAGCTAGTAGTAGATCAGCCTGTTGCTCATAACCCAAGCTGCAGAGCTCAGTGCATACAGGGAAAGGTGTGCATGTAGGGAAAGGTGCGCATGCACCTGTGCACCAGAGATACCCATATCCATGGGGAGCCCACAGCCAGGGGCACTAGCAAAGGCCTCAGAACCACCCTTCTGTGGGGAAAGGGCCCTGATGTGTAGTCTCGCATGATTTTTGTGTAATACTCGACTGCAGCCTGTTTCAGTCTACTGCCCTGATGTCCCAAGCATAGAGTGGGGAAGGTATGCACAGGACTGGCTTTGATGAGCTGCAGCAAGCCAGCCCTGGCGCTCACTAAACATGGCTATTACAGCTGCACACACAGTCTGACGGGAGAGTGCTGGCAGGTACACATTCACTGATGCAGAGCCCCTGTCCCAGTCACACCACCTGGACCTGGGAACCCATGGACTGGCACATGTAAGCACACTCCCTCATGCACAAACTAAGCTGTGGAGGTACTTACGCCTGCATTTGTAGCCTTGCTTGTTGAGGCCCCTAAAAGGTAAACCAGCAGGGTGAGTGCAGGGAATGATGGGGTTGGGCACCCCCTACTCTTACACCACTCCCCGCAGGTACCCAGCCCTCACCAAACAAAGTCCCTGCACACAGAGCAGAAGGTGGGCTGCCTAAAGAAGGTGGCGATGAACTCATGATTTTTGATGTAGTGGATCTTGGCCTGCTTGATGGCTCCACGGCGGTTCATCGTTGGAAACTTGGCCTCGTCCTCACTACGCATAGACTGCTTGCAATCTGGGGGTCACACAGAGTGATGAAGTCAGCCCCAGTGAACAGGAGGGGTAGCGCTCCTGTAGTCCCTTCTAGATTGATCCTAGATGGGACTGCTAAGGGGCCGGCTTCCCTGGGCGTTAGTGCTGGCTCTGGCCTCTGCCCAGCAGGTAAGCCCTGTCCTTAGTCCCGGTGGATGGATGGTCTTACCTCCGTCCTCCAGGAAATACTGCACAGACATCAATACTTTGGCCTGGGGCTGTAGGTCCAGCTGTGGGGGTAAGAGGAGGGGCCATTAAGCTCAGTGAGGGGGGCCTGGGCCAGATCAGACTCTCAGAACCGGCCCCCATGGCTGGGGTTCCTTGGCCTCCCTGAGGCCAAGGGAGCCCCCTAAAACCTAGTCAGACACCTGTCTGCCCAGTGTGGGCAGGGCCCCACCCCAAGCCCCGCCCCAGCCTGCACCCAGGGGTATTATTACATTTGGGGAAGTGAAAGGATCTAGCCCACACCCAGCCAGACCACAGAGCCTGGGAACAGAGTGGGAAAGGAAACTCCCCACCCTCACCCGCTGCTGTCCACAGCAAGGAGCTTAGAATGGAGGCTTGCTACCCCACATGCCCTGCAGAGACACAGACATACTCAGCCTACCACACCCACAGGGCTCTTCATGGACTGGACAATCTGGAAGACAGGACCTGAGCCTCTATTTCCTCACCTCCCCCAGGACCCAGACCTGGTAAGGGACATCCTCCCTTAGGGGAGCGGGGAGAGCACATAGCCAGAGGCCCCTCTGTCCCTGCTTGATTGGCCAAGGGTCAGTACAGACCCTGTGTCAGCCTCTCTCTTATCTTGACCCCTTCATTTCTCACTGGAGGCTGATCAGGGCCTCCAGTGGTCATGAGGCCTTTCCAGTGGAGAAATCTGAGTTGTAGGAGTCCATGTGTAACCCAGGGGGGTTTCTTCCAGCACCAGTACCCAGAACACAGGCACAGCTGCATGTGGCCATGTGACCACAGACCTGCACTGAGTCCCAGTTTCGGCAGGTGAGTGAGTGGTGTCCTCAGCCTTCCCCTTGTCCCACCTCCTTTCTGCTACCGATCAGGAGGAACCCCCCACCACGCCTGCCTAGGCCTGGTATATCTGCAAGGATTCCAAAAAGAACTGGAACAATGGGTGCCTCTGAGAAGGAGCCTGTGGCCTGGTTTTGGGGAAGGTACACACCCTTTCACAGAGTTTGAAATGTTTCACTATGTGCATATCCTGCCTTTTCAAAATTAAAAGGGAAAAAATAGTCACAACAATGAGGATGACTGCCTTTAGTACCCAGTATGTGTCAGGTTCTTTTTTTTTTTTGGTACTGGGGGTTGAATTCAGGAGCACTTGACCACTGAGCCATATCCTGAGCCCTATTTTATATTTTATTTAGAGACAGCATCTCACTGAGTTGCTTAGCACCTTGCTTTTGCTAAGGCTGGCTTTGAACTCCCAATCCTCCTGCCTCATCCTCTGGAGCCACTGGGATTACAGGTGTGCGCCACCATGCCCAGCTATGTATCAGGTTCTTGACATCCATAAGCCCTTGACCATCAGATGCTCGTTTCATCTAACAACAGACCCTGAGGTAAGAACTTTAAGCAGCTCCTCCTTCACAGAAGTGGAAAAGAGAGGCTCAGAGAAGCTGGGGACCTGGAGCGAGGAACTGGAGCCCAGGCTGCACTGGTAGCAGATCTGCACTGGCAGCGGAGCTCCCCCGCAGCTGCCCTCAGTGGGTCCCACACACACAAGCCCCTCACCCAGAACTCAGCCTTGCCGTTGTTCTTCTTGCAGCGTTCGGCCAGCACCGACACGCCCACGGTCACCTCCGACACTGGGTCCTCAGCTGCCCGCATCAGCACAATCTGGATGACGCGGCCCTCGTAGATGTGAGCATCAAACGTGGTCTTCCACTCAGGATACATGGTCGGCTTCTTCTGCACCAGCGTCTTCCCTCGCTCTGCGATGGGGTCAGGCAGGAAAGGTCAGCAAGGACCCTGTGTCCCACCCTCCCCAGTCTTCACCCTGCCTGCCTCTCCTGTCCCCAGGATCTGCTGTGACTCCATAGAATGCCCAGAACACTGAACTGTCCCTAGCAGGGTCCACCTCTAGGGCTTTGCTCTTGCTGTTTCCCCTCCTGTGACCTTTTTGCTCCAGCTTCACTGAAGTGTCCCCTTCTCTCAGGCATTCACTCAGTGAACCCCTGCTGAGAGTTGCCAAGTGCCAGCCACAGCACGGGAGGTGAGGAACATGACAGAAAGAAAAGTCAAACCTGGGGCCTGTCCTCCTGGAGCCCCAGTCCAGGGCAGAGACACAAACCAACACATTCCTTGAGTAACCACTTAAGTCACAGCTGTGACGAAATTAAAGAAGGCAAGGCCAGTGGTTCTAAGGCCATCCATGGTCAAGTGGCCTGACCCAGCCTAAGGGTCAGGGAAGGCTTCCTGGAGGAATGGACAGTCAGCTGGGTCTTAGAGGTGAGCAGAAGCACAAGGGAATGGTGGGAAGTGTGCCTCCTCCTCCAGGAAGTCCTCCTAAGCCTAAGCCATGGTGGTGTCCTCTGTGGCTTTCCTCTCCACAGGACTCATTGCCTGGTGATACGTCCAGCTCCCCATCTAACTGTGAACCCCATGAGGGAAGGACTTGGACGGTCCTGGATCATGACAGGGTCCTCAGATGGACACGTGGAAACGGTTAGGTGGAACAACCAATACAGCCAGAAACTCTAAAGCCTGGTGGGGTTCAATTTAGCCAGGCCTTGAGACCCTGTGGCCTTAGCTTTCCTGCATCCATAGCTGGGCAGGGAGATAAGAACAAGGAAGAGAAGACACCTTAGAGGTTCCACAGAACAAAGTAAGGCCCCTGGCCCCTCCTGCTGAGCCTCACACCGCCACCCCAGGGTCTGGGCTTCGGCCCTACCTGTGCTGAGAGCCTCCTTCATCTTCACGGCACAGAAGGGCTGATTAGCCTCATCCTCAACCTGCAGGGAGCCCAGCTCGTAGGAGTTGAAGGCGATGCGCAGGAACGGTGCCATGGTGGGGCCTGCAGCAGGGTTGGATGTAGAGGGCTGATGAAGCCAGGCAGCACTGGGACAGCCCCAGGACATGCTCAGGTACCTACTGCCCCTGGGGCTCCCACTCCTTTGAACTTGGCCCACATGGTGTGGAAAATGCACTAGTCCTAGTTGCCAATGGTAAACATGGGGATGTTTTATGTATGTCTGGACTTGAGGTAAAACTGGAAGATGTGCCACTAGGTCAACTGGACAGTAGCCTCTGGATGGCTGCCTCTTTATCAAGTGACACCAGGCCAGGGACACTGTCTTCACTGCTCTCCAAAACCTGCACCGTGGAGGCATCTGAGTCTGTGATCTCTGAAGCATTCATTTGGAGTCATTCAGTCAGTGCCTCTGTCAGTAGCCAGTCACTGGGCTCCTGCATCTCAGTGCCAGCAATCATCCAGCAAGAGGAACAAGAGAGCACCTCCTCTCACCCTGCCCCTGGCAGCCCTTCTTGGCTCTGATTTTGCTCATAACTACCCAGGCAGACAAATGGGGCCAAGTGAGCACCCCCACTGAAAACTGAAACTCTGAGGTTTAGCCACAACTAAAAGCAGGGGTTCCACTAACTTAGCACCTACTTTGTTCCAGGACCAGGGCAGTCAGAGGCTCTGCCCACATCAGTGTACTTGACCGTTCTGAACTCACCCTTTGGCGTCACATGCCTCCCGCTGCCTGCACTTTCAAAATGAAAAATTTCTCCCCAAATGTAAAACTGTATTTTAATTTTTTTCTTTTTCTTTTTTTGGGTACCAGGGATTGAACCCAGGGGCACTGAACCACTGAGCCACATGCCCAGCCCTTTCTAATATTTTATTTAGAGACAGGATCTCACTGAGTTTCTTAGGGCTTTGCTAAGTTGTTGAAGCTGACTCTGAACTCACGATTTTCCTGCCTCAGTCTCCCGAGCTGCTGGGATTACAGGCGTGCACCATGGTACCTGGTTGTATTTTAATATTGACTGTAATGCCAGTTTCCACACTGTCCTCTTTCTTCACTATTCCTCAGTCAAGGGTCATTACAGGAGGTTGATTCCCAGGGTCCTCCTGGGTTGCCATCTGTGGAGGACATTCATGTGGAAGGCCACAGGTGCACACTCATACTCCTATATGGACACTGGCTCTTGGCCCAGGCCCCACGTCCGGGTGCTCCATAACCATAGTTGAATGAATGCTCATTCATGCTCATTCCACCCTGAACATTACCTGCATACGCATGCGTACATACAGCAGCTGCCCAACCCCCGAACAGCCCCCTCCAGCTCCTGCACAAGGCAGCCAGCATAGTGGCCAGGTCTGCTGGGAGCTCCCAGCCCAGATGAGCTCACAGGAAACACTGACCTCAGCCTGCAGCCCAGCCCAATGCGCCCGGCCAGTCCTCTGGGGCCAGCTGCCAGAGCAGAGCGAAGAAACCTGGTGAGGCAGATCCGACTACATCCCCTGCCCTGGCTCCTATTCAGTGGGAATAAGAAGCCAAGGCCTCAAAGCCTCTGGCCTGGGAGTACCGGGTCCCAGGCCAGCTGCACACAACCTCTTGGCAGGTGGGGAGGGGGAGCCAGCAGTGGCCTGCTAGGGGTTCATCCCATAGCTGGAGCACATGTGAGCATGTGTGTGTTGGGGGACGTGAGTGTACATGTGGGTGCGATGGGTAAGCACAAATGTGACTTACGTAGCCATAGAAATGCATGTGCCTGTGAGGCCATGGGAGTGGCTGGCACGTGGTAGGAGTAGTTAGTGGTAAGAGTGAAAAGAAGCTGCATGGGCCTGGCCTAGAGCCCATGTGTAGGAGTCTGGGTGTGTGTCTCAAACCCCCAAGGAAAAAAGGTATCTTTCCCCGGGGCTGCTTTGCTAGCCCTGAGGTCCAAGGCATCGAGCATCCAGATGAATGCTGCCTGGGGTCTCGGGTGATAAGCAAGATCCCTGCACAGCACACACTGGCTGCAGGCCTGCGTCTACACACTAAGAGACACAGCTCAGCCTTGCCCCTCAAGAGACAGAGCTGGGGTAGTGAGCAGCTTTCTGGGGTAGTGAGAAGATGAGGGAGGGCTGAGTGACAGGAGGGCAGAGAAAATGAAGGAGAAAGATGCTGTGGCCTTGGCTCCTGGGAGACAGGCTGAGGGCTGACCAGGTGGCAAAATCACGGTCAGGCTGGCTGGATGCGACACCACAATATCAATGCTGCCTTGGCTGCAGGACTGTACAAGTCTCCCCTCCCCCCATCTTCCAGATGAGGAATAGTCTCTTAGTTCAAGGGTCATCATGCTGATGAGGATCAACACCAACCTGACAGGCCCCAGAGAGGGGGTCCTCTCATCAATATCACCCCCTTGCACTTGGGAGCACCCATCCCTCACCCATGCACCTCCCTTTCCAGGCTACAAAATGCAGTCACTCCCCCAATGAAGGCTTCTGCCTGCCCATCAGCCTGGGGAGACGGTCCTGGCTCTGACCCCACTGCTCAACAAGGAAACCAAGTCTTAGAACATTTGGCAACTCATCCTGGGGCGCCAGGCACTTAGCACACCTGCTGGTCAACTCTTCCTCCCTACCACCTCCTCCTGAGGCCTGGTCCTGATGGCCTGTAGGCTCCATGGCTTCCCTTGCCCTCAGCTTGGCCAGCAGGAGCTATGTGACCAGGACTATATGGAGGAGAAGAGGGTGTCAGAGAGGATGAGGCAGAGCCAGGACTGGCCCCCCTGCCCTGTTCTGCAGGCTGCCCTAAACCTGCCCTCGGGCTCACAATCTGAGCAGTTACTGCTCACAGAAGCCACTGAGGGAAAACCACAACCACAGCGGGCTGCGGCCCCAGCCCTAAAACCGTGTAGCTAGGCCACAGTGCACAAGCACAGGGGATCCATGGTCTTGGTGGGCTGCCATGGGGCTTCTCAGTAGTAACCTTAGGGCCAGAGCCCGTAGCCCCAACTTGCTACGACTAAAACCAGGTCAAAAACTAAAACCAGGCCTGGCCCAGCATTCCCATTCCCTCAGCCCTAAACTGGAATCTCCAGACCCCAGGAAGGAGACAGTCACCATGAGCTGGCATCTGCTTCCATTACTGAGTGATCCTGAGAGAGGTCCAGGGCCTCTCTGGGCCACAGGTGCCCCTCTGCACAATGGAGCACGAATTACTCACCTACCTCGCGGTGTCTGAGCTGTGGTGGGAAGGTGAGGGGCGAGGCAGCAGCACAGAAGCAAGGTGTGCTCACTATTTATAACCTCCATGCAAATAGGCCCAGGCCCACAGGCCCAAAAAAAGGCCACCAGCTCAGCCCCAGACTCCTCACAGCTCTGCAGGGCCAGAGGCGTCGCAGGAGCTGGACCCCACACAGTGTCACAGGAGAACCAGGCCTCTCTCCCCATTGGGTGGGCTCCTAGCCTCTGTTCTAGCTTCTCAAGCCCACAGCAGAGGCAGCCCTGGGAAGCAGAGAGCACTGGACTCAAGCGTCAGTCTAGCCCAGTGTCAGGGCGTATACCCATAATTCCAGCAGCTCAAGAGGCTGAGGCAGGAGGATCGAGAGTTGAAAGCCAGCCTTAGCAACTTAATGCAGCCCTAAACAACTCATCAAGACCCTGTCTCAAAAAAAAAAATAAAAATAAAAATAAAAAAATGGGGTTGCTGAGAATGTGGCCCAGTGGTTAAGCATCCCTGGATTTAATCCTCAGTACCAAAAAATAAAATAAAATAAAATGGGCTGGGGATGTGGCTCAGTGATTAAGCATCCTTTGGTTCAATCCCTGATACCAAAAAAAAAAAAAAAAAAAAAAAAAGGAGTCAGTCTAGGTGTGAATCTCAGCTCCCCACTTCTAAGCTTTTCTGAAGCTGACAGTATGCTGCTGGATTGGCCTTGTAACTGCATTAGCTCACTTTATCTCTATGTAGATCCAGAAGGTGAGTATTTTACATATGAAGAAATAAAGGCTCAGAAAAGCTAACTGATTTGCCTAAGGTAACACAGCTAAAGGTTTAGACCCAGACATGCCTAATGTATACCATTTGGGGAAGAAGAGACAAATGGAGGTAAGGGTCTAGGACCCTGTGTTCAACCAGTCTATTCAGCCCTCCCTACTCTTCATCCCCAGGCCTCCACTTGCCATAACTTGAGGAACTGGCCCTGCTCCCCACTCTGCCCTAAAGCAACAGCCTGGAGGTAAGGAAAGGCAATAGCTAGACCAGGCCCAAGTAGGCAGGTTGCCTCCTCCAAGAGCAAACAGAAACCTGTTTTCAGCCAGTCCAGGGTAGTAGGCAAGGCCAGCCTCAAGGTGACCAGAGTGACCTTGCTGTGGGTAGACCCCAACAGAACAGTATGTGGGCTGCAATTCCACACATGCATCAGCAAAGAAACTGGGGTTCCAATAGAAACCCAGAATGCATTTTCTAACTCTTCTACATAACGGGTAACTTGTTTGAAACAACTCTGTCAAAGATAAAAAATAAAACTCACCAAGCTGAGACCAATATGCTCATCTCCTCATTGTACAGAGGGAAACTACAGCCAAGGTCCTGCATTGAGGATCCCTCAGCTCCCAGACCCAGCTTGGTCTCTTCCCTGCCAGCCCTTCCTTCCGGAACAGTTCTGCCTCACAGGGTGCAAGATGGTGCCCAATGAACAGAGAGTAAACTGGGGTTGAAGCTAGAGAAGAGGCATCTTGGTTCAGCTGTTAGGAGAATGTGTCAACAGGCTCATGAGAGAGATCAGCTGCAGCTCCTGGTGAGGAGCAGGGGATGCCCCCATGCCACCTCATGCAGCCCTCTCCCACCTACCTTGGGCCTGTCCCTGCCTTCTGTGCATGGAGGGTACCACACTGCCTGTCAAGCCAGACTGGATGGTAGGTGATAGCAAAGTGAGGCCCTCCTAGGGACGCAGCTTTACCTGTTATGTAGGCCTTGAGGGATAAATGAAAGCAGGAAGAGCAGTCAAAGGCCTGGTCAGAGTCGGGAGGGGGTTCAGAGTGAGATGTAGTATGGCCAGCAGGCAAGAACAGAG